TCAAAGGTCAGGTCACCAGAGGTCATTGAAGGCAAAATTTCGCCGATTTCCAGGTCGAATGTCGAAAATTTCCAAGAAGCCAACGTATAACTCGGGAACCAATAGAGCTACAGGGCCGCGGAAAAGTGCATTCGATAGCCCTATTAACGCCCTTTCTGAGTAATTCTCTCAGATTTGACCTAACGTCAACGGTTTTGCCTGCAGGGTGCAAAAACTGCAAAAATAGCCGATTTTTTCGGAAATAGTATTTCTGCAATAACTTTTGACCCAAGCCTTGTACGAGCTTACTTTCAGCGGCATCGTGTTCCTCTCGTCAAGACGCATCGAATGAACTATAACTTGACCTTGAAAGGTCAACTTGAAAATTTGACCTCAGGTCAAGGTCATGACCTGACCGGAAAGGGTCATGTTGCATATCAGTCGATCCGTATCGTCGAGCTGAACACATCTAAGGCGTTTTCATCGCTCTAGCATGCCTCTATCAAAAGTTATTTGCGAAAAACTGTTAGATACCATTCGTGACCTAAGATGACCTCAGGGCACAAACAAGGGTCACGGACACCATTTTCATGTTCAGTGTGTCTACACCACTTGTAATTCGGTGTTTAGGAGTGTTTATAATGTCTTTCGTCCAAAAGAGGCGCATTTCAATTTTCTCCCATTGACTTATAATGGGGAGGTCGCAAAATTGACCTGACCTTAGGTCATCGATATCAAAATTCTGAGATATACATTTTGTACATGCTATTGCTCTTAGCAATCGCTGAAAGTTTCAAAGCGATCGGTCACTCGGTGTAGCTATGACAGACATTGAAACTTTTTATGAGGTGAGGTCACTTGAAGTGACCTGGTGACCTGACCTTGAATGACCTTGGTCTGAAATTTTCACAACATGTGTAGAATTGATGTATGATAAGGTGTACCAAAAACGGCGGCGCTCCGCGCCGCCGTTTTTGAGATATTCGCGAAAAACCACAAGGGGGGGTGTTCAAACACCCCCCCCCCAGCAGGGCGCGGGTTAATGGGCCATGCGCCGATTTGGAGCACGAACTTCCACGGTAATAGCCCGGATTGGGTCCCACTGGAGGCCACAATAGAATCGGTAGGTATTAATACGGTGGTGATAACATTCAGCAGAGCTGAGCCGCCCTTTTCGTGATGACTGCATGCAGTCGGGACAAACGCTCCAGCTGGTATTTGAAGTCTCGGTGATTTTTGTAGGGATATACGAAACAACCAAACGAGCAGAAACTACCCTTTAAACCAGACGGTTCCGCATTTGAACGGCAGAAGTGAGCGTTGTTTTCGGCGACTGCAATGTCGCAGTGGTCACTATCACCGGGGGCTGTAATGGTGCAGTGGTCATTATCACCAGAGACTGCAGTGTCGCAGTGGCTGCTATCACCGGAGACTGCAGCGATGCATCGGCCACAGAACGCTTACAAAACAGCGTGGGAAGCAAGTCTGTTGTTGAAACGCGATGAGTTTCCTTCTAAATGAAAGGCTTTTCAGCAATCAGGGAATGCCTGCGGTAATTGTAAAGCACGAAGGCGTAACTAATGCTGGTCACAACACGAGATCACAACACGCCAGCTCATCTAATTTTAGCTCTGTCAACCGCACCGGCTCGATTAACACTTACTCAAGCTTATCCCACCCACTCGGGTTCATATCACTACAGTTCAACCCAGCTTTGTCCAGGGCCAGCCCACTCTATTCAGACTCGCCCACTCAGTCAGTTTGAGTTGCCCATTGCTCGGCTGGGCCAGCCCACTCTATCAGCCCAGCCCAGCTCTGTCCCGGGCCAGCCCACTTTATCAGCGCAGCCAGCCCGGCGGCCTATCCATGGGCCCGCCCACGTGGGCGGCGCAGCTCCGGCCGGCGCGGCGTCGCAGCTCGGTTTGCATAGTCGGTCTCGGTTACGGCTCTGTGTAACGGTGCGCCGGCCACGGCGGGCCGAACTCTGGCCCGCCGCCGCGCTGCTGACCTACTTGGGCCGGCCGCCGGTGGATGTCGGGGTGCCCGCAGGCCCGGTGATTCGCTTTTTGCCGAGTGGTGGGGGCGGGGCGCGGCTGAGTAAGGAGAGGGGTGTGGGAGGGAGCTCATCGACCGGTGACGCGGCAAAGTGGGGAGAGGGAGGTGGGGGGTGGGGGGGGATGTGATTCGAGGCTCGAGCTGTTGTGAAAAGTATGGTGAATTACATTTAATTACATCTTGAATGACATTTATGATGCGTTGATTGATGTGATGTTCCGTCATGAAATTGTGTTTCGGTAAGCCCACACGAAGAACAGCTCCCCCAATGTATGAGTTCCCGGGAAATATCAGTGACTAGATCGCGCCGTCGGTGCGGGGAATTTAATCTGCTACTACATCGTGTCTCGGTGATGTCCCGCCGGCGAGTTTTCTAAGCCGCGTCCGAGCTCGTCTGACGGCAGCTCTCTGGTACTAATTCCGGTGGGGCGCCACCCGGCACCCAGAGGCGCCGTTTCCCCGCCAGGACTGGTTCCTCGCGAGCTGGCGACGACGACGGTGAAAGTATTTTTCCGCCTCGACAGACGATACCACGGGGGGCGTGTATTACAACATAGGCTCTGGAACCAGGAAGAATTTGTCTGATTATACTTGCAGAGCCGGCCATGTGGCAAGGCTCTGAGATGTGCGGTTCACCCATGTGCTACACTAGCGGAATGTGTCACTGGGAACTGCCACCGCCAGTTGTGTTGCAATCAAGCCTTTGAAAGTAAGGGAAATTGCTATTAGCTTAGACAAACTTCAGTTTTCTTTTTGCATCAATGACAAAATTTAGCCATCAGCAGCATCAACCGACCGTAGCGAGATAATGGTCAAATTGATCTAGAGATTAGTGAGCCTTTACCTTCATGCATAACAGGGATCTTCAATATAATACATAAATATCATTGAATCGTTGATTTGCGATTTTTCTATAGTGCGCACCCCAGTGCCGGTGATTTAGGATAAGTGTCATTGACGTGACGTTGGTTATTCTTTTTTTTTCTAAAACTCTAATCTATGCTTTAATAGAATTGAGAGCTGAATGACTAGGAGCAGCTGTTTCATTCGATTCGCTGCCTTACGCAACCGTTTACCGCCGCTATCAAATGCTACGCTGCGACACACGGCGATACGCTGCGACTCGGTCGAGTCATGGACATCACCGTTTCCATCAACTGTCGATAATAATCCACCAGAGAAAGGCCAGCTCTAGCCACTTGGGTTTGGCAACGTCCCACTGAGAGCGGCCGATCAGAGACAGGTGGCGGGTTCCATGGACCCACGGTTACCCAACCGTTACCTCACGGGCCACGGGCAGGCGAGATCAGCCGCCACGCTTTGACCTGTGGCCCCAGAATTTGTCGCAACGCCCACGACCGATAGATCTGGCCCGGAGAAATCCCGGAAAACGCCACATTCGATCACGAATTGGAATCGTAGTCGCCACAAGAGAAATGCATCCACCGTTGCGAAATTGGCAGAGACGGAATGTCGTCAGGAATTGAGTCAATTCACACCACGTCTTTGTCACAAATGAGGCGTGATATTGCTGACGAGATGACATAAATCGTGCCTAATGAGGCGGAAAATCACTGAATAGGGCGGCACGTGAGCTGGGATGTGGCGCAGCTACTAGTACCTCACCGGAGACCCCCTGACGGACTCGCTACCACAGTCGGGCCGTCGGGAGTGTGTCCCGTGCCGCCCATCCAGCCGAGACGGCCGGTCGGGTGTCGAGATGGCTCGGCGACGGGCGTCCCACATACCCGGCAGTAGCCGTGATGCAACCGCAGCCGCTGCTGACCGCCGGCGAGCCGCCGATGGCGGTCAGCGCGGCGCGACAGAGACGAGCGCGCCGCATGGCGCAACTCCGAGCGTCGCCGTCACCGCCGCTGGCTCAGAGAAAGGGCCGGCCGGACACCTGCGTGAGGCGTGGCGTGCGCGCCGCCTGCCCTTCCCCTCCGGAGGGCGCGCGGCGTGACGGAGGACGGCGGACAGCGGCTGCACCCGCTCCCGACGCTCCACTGATCCGTGACGCGGTTGGTGCCTCTGCTGCGCCCGACAGCTGGGCTGCAGCTCCGGCCGGCCGGTCTGCTGGTCAGCCTCGCCGATGAGCATCACAAAACAAAGGCACGTGAGACCGCACGGGCAGCGGCCGCTGTCCCAGTGGCTGAATTGTTCCCGCTCGGTGCTCTCCGCTCCGACCGACAGTGGTTTTTATCGCTGAGAATCGTGCGACATAGATCTGATCGGTTCGAAATCCATGAGACTGTGTGAATCATGACCTACAATTACCGGAGGATATGTGTTTTGAACGTTGGGGGATCCATGATAGCCGACATTTCACAGTAGCTGTACTCATATGAATAAGAAGACTTATTCATTGTTGAACACAAGTAAAGCAATAGTGTGGTGCAAGGTTTCATTGAAATAATGAACTCTTTCAATGAACCTCTAAACTTGACTTCGCGACAAGTTTTCCGGAAACTGGTAGCTATGTGATATAGCTTTATTTAAAATAGCCGGATATTGGTGTGCTTTTAAAAATAGAAATTTATGATTTGGGAACAAAGTTACTCGGACAACAAGATGGTAATAAAAAGCGCCAATTGTTTGTCACGCAGTGGCGGTTTTTGGTCGTTTCGATGAGAGTGGTGTTTGAAGCCTTTTCCAGCACAGTTAATCGATGCAGTTGCCGATAAATTAAGAACAAGTGCTGAAGAAGCCCAGCAAAATCTGAAGGCTTATAACTAGTTAGATCGCGATAAATGAGCTTCGCAAAAATGAGAAATATAACCGCAGATAAGGCAGAAACATCAATCTGGAACAACCATATTTACATTTTAAGTTCGTGACGCTGGCAACAGCAAACCTTGTTGCCATTTTGTTGGCCACAAAAGAAACCTCCACCAGCCCATCAGTCCCGATTCCAGTAATTGGCCAGTCTTGGATACGGTCCCGGGTAAGAGTCGGTGGCCACTTACCGATGAGGGCTGCGGCGAGCAGCGCGCCGAGGGCAGCGCCGCCGGTCCATGATGGCCTCATGGACCTGCGCGCGGCCATGCTGGCTCTCTGGGTGATCGCTGACGGTCGGCTGGCGGGGACGCTCAGAGCAGGTGCGCCATGCCACAGGACGTCAACAGCACGCGACCGGCCTCTGTCGGCGTCACCACCGTACTGCCACTGCTGCGGCCGGCGGCCGGCGGCCGGTCAGCTCGGCCGGCCGGCCGGCGCAGTGCGCAGGCGCGCCCGCCGGCCCGCGGCGGTGCCGCAGTGACCCGGTCGGGTCAGCCGCGCCGTCGCGGGCGCCGCTTACGTCACAGAAACGACCAGGTGAAATGAAAATGCGCGCCCGACTCGCCGCTGACCGGCCCAATGTCGAAAACTGTTGACGCTAAAGGCGAGGGAAAGTCAGACTCGCCGTTCTCACCTCTAATCCGGCTGTTTGGAGAACCTGGAGATGATCTCATGGGTTCATGGGTTATAATGGCCACCCAATGGGTTATCGACGAATCAACACTCCAATGGCTCGAATAATGTGGAATTTGTCTCGGTTGTCAAAACTTTTGGGTTTGAATATTATACATTAGGGGTGACATTTTAGCCCATTGTAGCATATTTTAGTCGAAGTCAGCGCTAATTTAGGTACCGATCGATACTTGTCTTGGCCTTTATAAGTGCAACTGCCTCTGCCGTGGACCGATTGGTATATTGTCGTGAACAGAGTGAAACATATAGATGGTAATGACATATTTTCTAGAGGTGTGCAAGTTATGGTAAGAAATGTGATTCCTTTAAGTGCTATTTATGATTTTAATTGTACTAGTACAAAAGAACGTGAAAAAATGTCAGTTTTACAGAGAATAAATTCAACTGATAACTACCTACATTTTACAATGTTTTAGGGAAATGTGCTCCAAATTATTGAGCCCCAGTCCGCATATCTATATATGGAAGGTAAGCGCAGTGTCCAAAGTCCAGTTAAAATAACACCCGGCCCGGGCCAAAATGCCCGTGTTCATATACCGACTCAGCATAAGCATTGTTGCCGAAACACACTTTTATCATCAGGAATGGCATGAGTACGAGTATTGTTATGGTAGGTCGTATAAATATGCGCTCCAATAGAACTCACACCAACGAATGCACGAATCCCATTTTATCTTGCTTCTTCATTTATAATAAGCATTATTGAAAAGAGCGACCAGATCGTGTCGTCCAGCACTCAGCTGTTGAGTGACACAACTGGTGTATTCAGACAAGTCCGATGCATTTAGAGCCGACAAGCGCCGTGTTCAGGCGCCATTCCGAGATGGCTGTCTCACCGTCTGGCCGAGTCGCCACGGGAGACGACGGGCGAACGATCCGTACGGGCTCATTAGGTCATGACGGGCACATTACAGACGTTCATTAGGGCAGCCAATCACGGCAAACGGCTGGGTGGATATAGATACTCAATCAGCACCGACCGTAACTATAAACCGGCCGCTGCTCCAGACATTGCACAATGAGTGATCAGCGCCGGATATCTAGCTAGGCATTGGCTCAGCTGTCTATGTTTGATGTTATTGCAGTATAAAAAGAACGCCTTGATTAGGTTATTTTCATGCTTCTTTATAGACGCTGTTTTATTTTTTGTTTGAATGATACCTAAAGTACAAAATGAACGTTATCCCGACAACCCTATTTTTTTCGCCGGACCGTCAGGGAGGAATGGTTAGCGCGACAAGCTCCGCCCAACGCGAATTTTGACATAATTCCGGTCAAAAGGTTGATGGTAAGTTACAAACTCATCCCCGAGTGGGTCTGTCGTCTCGTCGACCTGCCTTCAAACTTCAATCAAACTGCCCCTGGAATGCTCTTCCAGGCCTGAGATCGTGGCATATAGTGTCCTCGGCGTGCCGGCCCCACCCAGCCCGCCGGCGGTGCGCCGCCCTCGCCCTCGCACCGGCACGCACTCTGCATTTGTTTGTGCGCGCAACGGCCGCCGCCCACCCGCTCGGCCCGGCGCGCACCAGAGTGAAAGACGTGACAAATGCGGCGCACACGTCCAGCGTGTCGGCAATCGCGGCGCGCGGATGCGGCGGAGAATTTATGCCGCGCGGCACGGAGAATCATCGCTTAGCGCCTGGGCCAAAGGGAAAGTGCGGGCCAATGGTGGCGTGAAAGGTCGGGGGTCGTCTCCAGGGACGCCGCTGGGGGGGGGGGGGTGAGGATGCGCCCGACCTCTGACCTGACCCGAGCGCGGGAGCGGCGTGGAGGACGTCGAGAATGAGATGGGCCGAGATGGAGGGAGAAGAGGACTGTTCCGTCAAGCTGACGTCCATCACAGGCACTCTGACGTGTCCAAGTGTCCAATGATTTCGTCCCGTACCCGTCGGCATCCTTACAAACATCCCCGAGCGGCGTGCAGAAAAGTGACGTCACAAATCAATTATTGATCCTTGGGAGGTACTGAGCTAGCACTGAAACTGAGATCACGTGATAATGCTAAGATGCAGGATGCTATCAATCTGTTGTAAGCAGAACCCTGACTAAATCGGGAAGCCGTTCCGTTTCAATATGCTCGTATAATCATATGTCATGACAAATGCCTAACTCAAGGATATCGCGCGAAACCGAGGTGATCAGTATGAATCGTGCAGCAGACGCTTTTTGAACTGAGTTATCTAAGAGCACCTAATATGTAATGCTTCGCCTTACCCCGTACAGGTAACCGAGACGTTGCATATTTAGCCTGCTCGTCTACTAGCAGAAGCTTAACCCGCGCACCGACGGGGGGGGGCGGATATCCGCCCCCCCCTGAGGTTTTTCGCGAATAGCGGGAAAACCGCGGCGCGTAGCGCCGCGAAATTTGGTATGACTATACCTTCATCAATTTTACACATGGTGTGCAAGTTTGAACCTCCTACCTTTTAAGGTCAGGTCACCAGGTCACTTTGAATGACCCAACCTCAAGTCACTTTTTTGCAACTTTGTCACCGTGCCAGAGCTACAGTAGATGTCGGAGGCCTTTGAAAGTCGCAGGATATTATAAGGTCATTAGTAACTACAATTTGTATATCTCGGAATTTTGATATCGGTGACCTAAGGTCAGGTCAATTTCGCGACCTCCCCATTATAAGTCAATGGGGGAAAAATCAACTCCCTGTTTTTACCACTAAAACGGGTCGGAATGGCCCCATATACCATACATGACTTCATATACGATCAACCTTCACTACCTTGAGGTCTGTTTTGCTGTTGGGCAGCTGTGAGGTCATGTGACGTCATCAAAGGTCACCAAAGGTTTTTGGCCAATAACTCCGTACAGGAACAAGATACAGACGCGTGGATGGTCTCATTGTGTTCAGCTCGTCAAGACGCATCGAATGATATACATGATGACCTCGAGGTCACGTGACCTGAGGTCAACCTTTGACCTTAACCTTTCGAGGTCAACATATATATCATTCGATGCGGATTGACGAGAGGATCACGATGATGCCCTTAGTTTGTTCCTATCTTGACTAATTCGAAAGTTATTCGAGAAAAACTCTCCATATCTAGCGCCGCCATTTTGACTTTTTCGACCCCTGTGACGTCATCTTTGACCTGACCTGAAAATGACCTTAGTAAAAATTGTAGATCTTGACCGTGCGTATCCGATGCCGTTTACCGCTTGTCGCTATCTTGCTTCGTTCTCGAGATCTCAGGGGGGGGGGCGGTCATCCGCCCCCCCCGTCGGTGCGAAGTTGGCGCAGACCCCCGTCGGTGCGCGGGTTAAGTATTGAAGGTATTTGCTTTGCATAGCTTCCTGTGCCTACTGCTATGTATGACGTTCTTTTTTCGAGGTAATTTTTGACTGGAGAGAGGTTTATGATTAATAATGGTGTGGTGTCCTCGCTCCTCGGTCGGGCCGGTTGCGAAAAATGCTCATTGAATTGGAAATGTCGAATATCGTTTATGCTTACCGCCATCCATGTGCATTCGAAATGATATTCATAGAAAGTAAGAAGTGATAAAGAAGAGAAGGGAGAAGGACAAGGCTAGATAGTGGATCTTATTCGGAGGTTAGGTATGCATTAGATACCAGGGAGACATTGTATTTTGTTATACAACAAAATCTAGGAAACTGTTTATCCCAATATATCATACCTTATATGTATGTGCTAATGACTGTTCGTTTTAACACGCCTTCATCGATAATTCATACCTATGGCGTTTTCATCAGTTACTATTCTTTCTGTCGTGACTCGTGAGTGCATCCGGAAAACCCAAACAATGGCGTCTAAGCTCACGCAGACATGGGCAGTTGGGACATACTTTTTAGTATTCCGGCTTCGCGTGGACTCTCTCCCCGGTTTGAACGATCGAGACAGCTTTTCAACCAGCCAACACCGACCGGGCCCGGCCGGCACTTAGCCGGGACACTCCTCAGAAGCTCCGGTGTCGGCGGACACTCCCACTGCCCGGCGGAGGGCACTCCCGTTGTCTCTCTCTCTCTCTCTCTCTCTCTCTCTCTCTCTCTCTCTCTCTCTCTCTCTCTCTCTCTCTCTCTCTCTCTCTCTCTCTCCTCTGGGTGGGTGGCGTCTAACTCGAAGTAGTACTGGCCACGCAGCGGGCTCCACAGTCAGGCAGCAGGTCTGGTGTCTTCCCCCGTCTCTCCTACCCCGCCCCTTACAGCTCGGCTGCTGCATAATCGGGGGAGCGCCGCCCGGCGACGCCGCCGGTGAAACTGAGCGGCTCCCACGCATGAAAAACGGCTTTACATAATAGTTGCTGAGTTGTATGGCGAGGCGATATATGTCTGTATATTGTGCAGTGTATGTGCTATAGCTACCAGAGCCCCGAGGCCGAATAGTTAGTCCGTTTTTCTGGAATAAATAAAACAGAAATATTTCACTTCTTCAGAAGCCTGTGGCGTCACTCACCCCTCCGCGAGAGCTCCATCGCACGCATCTGCCAATTACGAGCTCTCTGGAAGACCGCTGCATGAATGATAGTGCCTGCTCACTCTTAAATATTGCTTATATAGTGCATTTGTCATTGGCTGATTTCGCGGGTGAGCTTGAGTCCTATACCCGGCGCCTTATGAAACCTATCACAGCTGCACTATCCGTTAATTGCTCCGAACTGTTGTCTCCCATCCTGCCGATGTATAAGGGACAGGTCACCGCGACTGGCTGAGACG